CATATATAAAATCAAGCACAAGGAACTATAGATAGAAAGAATTCACTCACTCTCAGCAAGAACATTCACATGCCACACAGATACACCATAAGCTTGCCCTTAGTGTAATACTCTACTAATCGAGCTGTTTTAGTCTAAGATCAAGAGGTCTTTATTTGGTTGTAATGTAGGCTAAGGGACGGGTAGGATATATTTGGATATTGTGACTAACCTCCCTAAGCACTTTTAATACATTCTTCCTTTATTCCGATTTCCATGTTCAGCCTAGTCATTCTTCCACACTTGTTTCATAAGCTACCCCCACTTCCCTAGGTGCAACTGGCTTTTCTTGCCATTCACTATTTTAGGACCACCTATTTGCAAGGTCCTTCTTCTATATTTCAATTTTTTTTTTCAACTACCATTGCATCATTCAAGTATTTTCTTGATTTCCTTTTTCTACTCCCTTATCACCCCACACTTTGACTTTTACATGATCTTTAACAATTCAAGTGCTTATAGGAGGCAAAGGGTCAAACACTCAAGATATTCAACACATGGATGTAGGTTATTGCAAGGTTATCAAAGAAACAGGCTTTAGGATCAAAGGGGTTAACTATGGTAATACGTACAGGTGGATCCATAATTAGACCGGCTACACAAAGAAATGCCTCAATCATCTCTAAGATTAAACAACTTCTATTTCGCTTTCGCAAACACACCGGGCAAGTTCTAGGTATCGCATGCAAGCACAGAATACAAGTATTACCTCACACACACTTGGCATGTAACTCATTCCGAATTAGTTTGTCAACACACTCACATGAGCGTTCAAGCAAGACAAGGTATGCACAATTAAGGCATAATTTACGAGTCTACAAACGAGCCTAGACGTCGCACCCTCAAGTTCGTTTAGTTATTAGCAGGTGTGTACATTACAGGTTGCATTCCTGCCCTTACCCATCTTAGTCCAAGAGAGTCCTCAGGGTCCTAAAAATATCAAAGAAAAATCTACCTAACCCGGTTCAAGAAAATCCCTTGGAAAAGAACCGTGGTCAAAAGAAAAACCAAGGGGGAATTACTACACTACCTAAAAAAATAAAAAATAAAAAATCTAAGTGGACTACTTCCCTCAAGAGTACTGTCCAAGTGGTTCGTCTTCAGGAAGAGTCCCCTACCTTTTTTTTTTTTTTTAAAATCCGACTTTGACCCTCAAGAGACCCGTCGACAAGTGTCCGTCGTTGGGCCAAGTCAGTTACTTGTAAGATGAGTACACCCAATTATACACAACAACAAAGATACAGAACTACAACATGCTCAATGTATATGTACACTAACAATACACCACTAAAGCAAGTCTCCCACCCCATGTTGGTTAGTATGATCGGGTATCTGTCACGTGATTTTGCATCGTGACAAACCTGGTATTAGAGCATTAGGTTCTAATATGAGTCCTAGGAAGTGTATGGAATCGTATCTAGTAAAATTCTTCTTATCAGCGTATTGTGCACCACACTTATATCGGAAAGGCTACATGAATATTTTTGACCCGATATTGACCGTGGTCAAACTCCAAATTCTTAAATTAACTGATCTATGAACCAATGATTCAAAATACACCCAAACCCCTCAGGACCCCATCCAATCATACCAACAAGTAGAAATATATATTCAAAGTTATTCAAAACCTCAAAACACCAATTTGAACATCACAACAAAGAATCGAGGCTCAAACCTAATAGAATTTCTCTAAAATTGTTAAATCTTCATTCTTTCAAAAGAGTGTTTGAATTGCACTTAAATACTTTGAATTACTTCCAAACTTTGCACACAAGTTCAATTTAACTATATAGACATATTCAAAGTCTCGCAACACTAATTGGAGTCCCATAATATCAAAGTCAACTTTTGGTCAAACTTATGAACTTTTAAGTTATTCAAATTGCCAACTTTCGACGAATAGTGTCGAATTCTTCTAGGAACCTCCAAAACCAAATTCGAACATACGTACAAGTCCAAAATCATCAGACGAACCTATCGAAACCGTCAAAACCTGATTCCGAGTTCGTTTACCCAAAATTCAAATCATGGTCAAATCTTCCAACTTAAAACTTCCAAATCGAGAGTCATTCTTCAAAATAAATCCTGAACCACTCGAAAATCAAAATCGACCATACACGCAAGTCATAATAGATCATATGAAGCTACTGAAAGTTTCAAACCACTGAATGAAACACTAAAGCTCAAAACGCCTGGTCGGGTCGTTACAGGTTGTTACTAGAAAGAACCAAAAAACAAAAAAATAACTACAAAAAAAAGAAGATAAAATTTAAGAAAACAAAAAAGAGTATAGTTTTATTAAAAAGAAAAAAACTTGAAAAACAGTAATAAAATTAAAAAAATTAAAAAAAGTAAAAAAAATTGTGGACCTAAAGATTTTACTGGAAAGAACAAAATTAAAAAAAAAATACAAAAATATATAATTTTTAAAAAAAAATAGGACAAGAAAAAAATAAAGTAAAAAAGAGTGAGGAACTGTTACTAGAAAAAATAACTACAAAAAACAAAACAAAAGAGTGCAATATTCTATTAGAAAAAAATTAAATGAAAAAATAATAACAAAAATGAAAAAAAAAGAAAAGAAAAAAACAAAAAAAGAATGTGAATAAATAAAAAATAAGGAAAAGAAAGAAAAAAGGAAACGGCTTTGGTGGAGCTTGAGCATAGGAAAGGGGGAGGCATGTAAGTAATAAAAGGGGGCATTATCCTGTTATATTTTAAAAATGAGAGCATTTTAGTCATAAAATTTTAAAAGGGCTCTTAGGCCTCATTTGTTTAAATTTAATGGAGGTCTGAACTTAATCATTCTCAACATTAAGGGTCTGTTTGGAAAGTCGCCCGATAGTTAGAATTGGTGTAATTACTAGGGTAGTAATTACGCAGCCTTGTAATTACACAGTTTAGTAATTACGACGACCTGTTTGTTTGTTACAACATAATTACAAGTGTACTGATTGGTTGCACAAGTGCAATTACATGGTTAGATTAAATTTTAAGTAAATTATCAAAATAATAAACATATGCCTATAAATAATTTTTTTATAAGTATAAATGATATTAGATTTGGTATTTTAAGATGCATATTTTTTCTTGAATATACACTGATTAATAATCATATATTTATAACTAATATTGTAAAAATAATTTTTATATATTTTTAAAATTAATAATATTTAGTTTAATTAATTATAAAAACTAAAAATATATATTTTGTAAGAACATCATGGAATGTATGTTTGTTAAAATAAATTAATATTTATAAATATAATGTCATAACATTATGCAAATGTTGACAAAATTAATCTATCAATTCTAACTAAAAAATGAATAACATGCAATGTGAAATAACAAGTCAATACTACTAAAACAAGTAAATTGGAACCATAACATAGCACAATTTCAAAATTCCTAAAAAAAAATAACTTAAACATATGTCAAAATCCAGCATAATAAAAATAAATTCTAATACAACTTAAGATTAGGAAACATAATAAGTTTATAACCTCATTCAACAACGAAATTCTACTTTAATGACATCACTCATTATATGGCAAATTTATTAATGACTCATTATTTTTAAAATTAGGAGGTGTAGTTTCAAAAGCTAGAATAATAACGCAGCTACACTAAATGGAGAAAATAAAACAAATAAGAAATAAAATATACGAGCAATTACATGGAATCACAAGAAGTAAAAGTAGAGAAATAAAGGATAAATAATGTACAAAAAATATATATTTAATATTAAAAAAGGAATTAAAATTTAAAAATAAAATACTGGAAATAAAAAGTTACAAAAAAATTAAAATAGAAACAAAAAGGAAAGAAATTAAAAAGTAACCCTGTAATTACATAGTATAATTACTACCAATTCTCACCTCTTCCTTGAGAATTAGAGTGTGTAATTACATCTCAGCAATTTCCAGTATTTTATTTTTTATTTTATTTTTATTTTTAATTACTTTTTTAATTTTAAAAATATACTAAACGGTGTAATTACACCCAATTCTCATGTTGGCCAAGTAATTACTTGGTCAGACAAAGATGACAAACTGTGTAATTACACCCAACTACATCAAGTTCAATTCCTAGGTGGCTTTCTAAACAGGCTCTAAGTGCGTTTGTTTTTAAAGTCTGAATCTTAATTATTCAGATCTTAACAATTAAATGTGTTTATCTTTTTTACTTTACAACCACTTAATGGGCCTGAATAGGTTTATATGATTAAAATCTATAACAGAGACTTAATTTCATTAAGATGCTATCATCCATATTCATTATTAGCTGCTGCCACCACCTAGCATTATCAACTACCACTATACCACCCACCACCATCATACTCAATCATGGCCGCCACCATTATCGACTACCACCACCCACCAATCCCCACCACTCACACCACCATCATTCTGAACCACAACCAACATTCATGCACCTCAACTACCACAACTAACAACCCCATCAGCATCAACAATCATAACTGGCAGTGCCCATCTTTATGAACTACCACCGCCATCGACCATTATTAACTATCACCACTCACCACCACCCTCCCCAATAACAATCACCACCATTACCAATCGCCACTATTTACTACCCTGAACCACCACCTTCAACCAAAATTATCATCAACCACCACCTCTACTCGGCATTCACAAGCACTACCGTTAGCCATCACCATCATCAAATACCATATTTTAAAAAATTATATATTTTATTGATAGAATATTAAATTAATTAGTATTTCATTTGAATTTTGTTTTTATTAATTTTCAAATAAAGATAATTTTATACATTCAGATGTTAAAAATCAAACATCTTAATATATTATTTTTTAGATCTTGATACATTTGCATTCAAATTTAGATATCTAAATCTTTAGAGGTATTAATCTTCAAAAATAAAAAAAAACAAATGAACCCTTAGCATCCTTTTCTCAGAAAAAAAAAAAAAAAAGGGATCCACTCTGGAAAACAGATCGCCTGACCTTCAAAGAATTATCTAGAAGTTTCAATTAGGGGCGACCTTATTACCAATTTCGTTCTCTCCTCCTCTACAGCTACATTGGAAAAATCTTCAAAGAATTAACTTCTCATTCGCAAGCTTGTATTTCGGTTTCTGAATTCGCAATGTCATCTCCTGCTGAGTAAGTCTCCCTTTTTCTGCTCTCTCTCCATGGAGCTATATACACGCACTCATCATTTCACACACTTTGTCTGTAATCTGATTCTAAATTCTATTTTCTTTATGAAAATACTCTCAATTTTATGTTCTATAATTCAACTTTTAGGGCTTTTCAGTGCGTCAATTGGATTGAGGATCCCCCAAAAGTAATTCCGATCCTCAATTAACATTTTGCCATCAATATGATGGCTTTAATATTTTGGGTGGATAGTTGCTTGCTTCTTCTTAATACTCCATGCCTCCCATTTTATATGATGTTTTCTTTATAACTGTGGTGTCGGGGCACCTCAGCTAGTTTCACCTCCCACCAGCAACATGTACCAGGTAACTCTCTCCACCAAGACTTGGATAAATAGAAAGAAATTACCTAGTGTTTTACCTCCATTAGGATTTGAACCTGAGACCCCATGGTTCTCACCCGCTTCATTGACCACTAGGTCACACTCTTGGGTACCTCATTTTATATTAGGTTGTTTAGATTGTGCAAGAGTTTAAGAAAAAAAGACTGACCTTTGAAACTTGTGTCTAAAACAAACAATAAATATTTGTGACTATAACTATCTCATTAAGGTTAAAATAAGAAGTTTAATGATGAATTATTTCTAACTATAGAAAGGTATCAGGATAGACTAGAAAAGGAAGGTGCATCACATCAATTGGGATAGAAGGAGTAATACCAATGTTAAGAACCAGAAATTGTTGGATTTTGAGAGAGAAAGCAGTAAATGGCTGAAACTTTGTCTTATAGAGGCCACGACATAATAGAAATGCATAATTGTGACACATGGACCATTTGATGCTATTAATGATAATGCATTTCTGCAATTTCATGGTGTTTAATAGGTTGCTCCATTGAGGTACCTTGTTGTTTGGAAGGGAAGATTCCCATTTTATTACGCCATGGGAAGTATCAAAGCGTACATTCGATATGAGCAGAACAATGGCATACCTTAAATTGGATGGAAAGAATATAGGTGATAACAAAAATTATGTGCTAGCCTGATCATGGTTACATCCACATGTGAGGAGGATGGATCATAATAAAAGCTAAAAAGGTTGTATACAAAATACAGATAACACTCTTTATTTACTCAAAAAACGTCTAAATGAATACCTTACAAATGCACTCTACAATGAGTTTGATGCAAGTGTATCACGATATTTTATTCTCTAGTGTTGTCTTACATCTCTTTCAATCTACTTCACAATTCAGTATGAGGAAGTAATTGACCTACCTCTCACATATAATTCTCTTTATGTTCCTTCTATGCATTAAAACGAGAAAGGGTGCGTCAAATCATAGCTAAGTTGCTCGGACACGGGTGCAGGTGTCCGACACGGGTGCGGATCTAGAGGTCGGATCCTTCGAGATGTAAATTCAAAGATTCGGGGATACGGATCCTAGTACAGATAAGAGTGCGGGGATCCGGCTAAAAATAATTCAGAAAAACAAAAATATAAAAAATAGCTCTAAATTATGAGAAATTTTGCGGAATACTTATGTATAGCTTGCAAAGTGTGAATTTCTTTTTTATTCTCAAATTGTAGATAAGTAAATGATTGATTTCCCAGATAAGGTATGTTATTTTCTTCAAATTTATCCTAGTTTTGGTTTTGATTTCGGGAATTAAATTGTATATCGTCTCGAATTTTTTCCGACCGTCGTGGTCAAAGTACCCAAAATTTGACCAGATCCGGTACTACTGTCGACACGGGTGCGTTACCTAAACTGCCATGTCGGAGCAACTTAGATTCATAGGCTCATTGTTAGTACTTTGCACCCGCCATTTGAAGATTCTAGGCCTTCTAACCATTCAAACTTGTCAAAGGTTAATCTTCTATTCAAAATGCTTGACTCAAGCATTGGATTGTTTCGACCTTGATGTTTGAACCTAAAATTCAAGCATCGAGTATCTAGGACCATAGAAAAAATCGACCGTTGCTAATTTCTTGAAAATTAAGACTTCTTAACAAATCTCCACCTTGGCTTGTATTTTCTAACATAGTAGACTTGCTACATGTTGAACAAAATTGACTAATCAATTTTCATGCCAATCATGTAAAAACAATAAATGATCTTATCAAGTGGTATCACCTTGGCTAGCCCTTACTTGATTCTCTCGCTTCATGGGAATTTGTGTCATCAAGGAATTTTTTGACCCGGAGCTGAGCCTACACTCCACCGCCTTTGCACTCTGAATTACCTTTCGGTACCAACTGCATAATTCCGCCCAGGGACTCCACTATACATTCAGTTGTTTAGTGGTTGTCTCCATCTTTGCTCTAACTTCTCGTTTAAGAAGTCCTCCCGCCGAAGCTTGCTTTGGCACACTCTTACATCCCTAACAGTAGCCGAGCTACTGCACTGTGATCAATCTTTGAGAGTATCTCAACTCACCCTACACATGCATGGGCCTCAACACTTCCCATCCATCTCAAGAGTAGCTTTTGTGAAGCTTCACTGAGAGAATTACTGAAGTTTTGAACTATAGTAACCAGGATGAAGAATGTTGAGTGTGATGCAAATGAGAAGACAATGTTGGTGTCCTCACTCGACAGTTCAAATCAAACTAGATATTAGCTTGGCTTTAATATTAAGATACCTGAAATTATCCTGAAGGCTATACCTTTATCTTGTCGTATCTATCATTCATGCCTGATTGTAAAAGGTCGAAAGTGTTAAGAATGGTGTTAGGTATTATTTTCATGGAAACTTCATGTGTCAAATGCAGTTAGGGGAAGGGATTAGCCTTCTGCAAAACCTGTACCCTTTTTTCTGTCTATATCTACCCTATAACCAGTTCCACTAGAAGAGAAGAGGAGATTGTGATGTCATTGCTGAAAAACTACTGGTTGTTGCTTGTCATCTCCTTATCCCACACCTAAGTTGCGCGGACTCTTCGTTTTTGGTGCCGCACCCGTCTCAACGCGGTACGGGTTTGGGTGCGGGATACGTCTCGGATTCGGTCAACTAACTTCGGATACTTTGACCTCACTCCATCAACAAATTTGGTGGAAAAATTGAGATTTGATTTCTAAAAATTCAAAATAAAACAGATTTAAGATATGAGAAATGGCATACCTTCAATATTGTAGTACTTCTGTCTCATATTTGCTGCTTTGTGTTTTAGAAAAATCAAGAATTCAAGGGATTGTGTTTCAAGTTCGGACTTCTGGTAGACAGTAGCTGCGATATACATAGAGAGTTGGTGGAAGGCCTTGAAATATATATATATATATATATATATTTTTTTTTTCTTTTTTTTTTAATAATTTTGAATTTTCTTAGCCAAATCCCTGTACCCGTATCCATATCTAGATCCGCACCTCCGAATCTTAAATTTAGATTTTGTCGAATCCGACACTCAGATCCGTGCCCGTATCGGATACCATGCCCAAGTCCGAGCATTTTAGTCCCACACACTTAGATTTTTCCTCTTTTCCTCCCCCTCACTCCCCCCTTCACCAACCAGCGACTCTTGTCTCTTGTGTCTATATCTTTAAGAATCTAATCTCCCCAGCCTTACACCTTACACTTAGCACTTTTTGTTAACTTTTGTTGCCTATTTTATTTTTTGAAACAAAAGATTTTTGCCCAATCTTCTTTTTTTTTTTTTTTTTTTGACTTGGTGACTCAATTTTGATTGGAACTCTAGCAATTTCTTTATTCCCTTACAACAACAACAACAACCACCTAGTAAAATCTCACAAGTGGGGTCTGGGGAGGGTAGTGTGTACGCATACCTTACCTCTGCCCCGAGGGGGTAGAGAGGCTGTTTCCGATAGACCCTCGGCTCAAGAAGACGAAAAGAGGCAATATATCAGTACCATCAACAAAAAACCATAGAAGTATAACATCACAAGGACCAGTAGGTAGATGGAAAGCAAAATTAATACTCCCTCTGTTCCAGTTTATGTGAACCTATTTCCTTTTTGGTCCGTTCCAAAAAGAATGACCCCTTTCTAAATTTGAAAATAATTTATCTTAAGCTTCCAATTCTACCTTTAATGAGAAGCTTTTATAACCACACAAATACTTTGGACCCCTTTTTGACTTGTTTAGGACCACAAATTCCAAAAGTATTCATTTTTTCTTAACAAGTTCACATAAATTGGAATAGAGGGAGTAACCAGTAAATAAGACCGGACACTATGAAAACGGAAGAGTAGTGTGAACACAACATTGACCACTAGTAGTCTCAGTTTTTTGAAGAGCGAGAAGCGGAAAAAAAGCAAGGAGGCCTCGCTTCACCGAAGCGAGAAGCGCGAAGCGAATCGCGCGCTTTTTTCATGTGAAGCGCAATTTAACACATAAATAAAAAAAAATTAAATAGGCATAGATAAATGGCCAAGAACTCAATAAAAATAACATATTAAGCAAATGTTTCAATTCTTAAATCAAGAAGTAAATAATAGATACTAAAACTAGATACGCCCAAGCTGGATCGCTTTTTTGGCTTGATGCCATTGAATAATAAGATTGAATTTACTACAATCAACAACCAAAAAAAAAAAACAAAAACAAACAGAACAGTTAGGAGTCGAACCAGAAACAGTGAAAGAACAGAAAAACAGAGCAATAAAAACTGAAAAAACAGTGTAGTCTAACAGAAGAACAGAGCACAAAATTAAGGGCAGGAGAATAGAGCATAAATTAGGGCAGAAGAACAGAGCAATAAAAACTGAAAAAAATAGAAAGAAGAAGAGAAAAACAGTGTAGTCGAACAGAAGAACAGAGCACAAAATAAGGCCAGAAGAACAGAGCAATAAAAACTGAAAAAAATAGAAAGAAGAAGAGAAAAAGGAGTCGAACTCGAACAGTGAACTGAAGAAAACCAAAAGAGGAAGAGAAGAGAAGAAGAGAAGAAAAAGAAGAGAAGAAGAAACTTACCCGTCGTCTCTTGCAGCAGAATGTTTGTGTAAGTGTATTTGCGAAGTTTTTTTTTAAAAACCCTAGCAGATGCCTTACCCTCTCTTAAGCGCGTTTTTTTGCGCTTTTTCCATCGCCTCGCTTCTCTCTTTTTAGGGTAAAGCGAGCGCTTTTTGACGTGAGTCGCTTTTTAAGGCAGAAAAGCGCTATGCCGTCGCCTCGCGTCGCTTCTGCGCTTTAAGCGAGAAGCGCACGCTTTTTATAACACTGAGTAGTCTAAGACTAAATCCTATCAGCCTAGCCTCACACTGGTACGAGTTAGAAATATACTCAATACCTTAATGCTCGACCTCCACAGAAAAACATTTAACTAGCGAAGCTGAGATATTTCTTGAAAGACTAAATTATATTGGAAATGACTACTGCTGCTTTCTTTTGGAGCAGAGCATGACTTGGATAACTTGTATCTGATAAAATTTAAGTATTTGATACTTTTTAAAAAAAAAGTGTTTCATAACCACGTGCTGTGCCATCTTTATTGAAGGCTAATTATCTCCATCTTCATCAGTGAGTTGAGCTTGACTATCTGTATTTCAGAATATGACGTGAAACTGATCTTCCTTAAAACTTCCCGCATTCAACTGACCAAAAATGCATGTTAGGATTGAGATCCACATGTTTTTAGTTAGTTCCTTTCTCTTCCATTGACCCATCTTGCTAAGGATCCTTTGACAGTGTAGAGTATCTCACTGCTAAAGCCAAACAGTTTAAGATATAGTTCCTAGATTTCCAGTCACCTCTGAATAATGAACGTGAAGATGACAGCGCCTTTTTGCGCATGTACCATCTATTGTCCTATTCTGCCCGTTTTGTAAATTATCTTTGCCTGACTTAAAAAAGTTGCATGAGACAAACCTCTTGCTCTTCTGTCGTGAAAAACAGGCCACTTTTATTGGTATTTCGTTCTCCATATTACGAGCTATGTTGCGCGGACTCTCCAAAATGCAACCGCACCCGTGTCGGATCTTCCAAAAATGCACTACTTTTGGAGGATCCGACACACACCCACTCTCATTTTTGAAGAGTCCGAGCAACATAGATTACGAGCAATCTGTTGACCATTTCTATACTACTAGAGAGGTGATTGTAACATGACTTCACTATGACCCTCCAGTTATTGTACCTGATAGAGTATACCTCTTGTAATTGTCTTCGCTGTCAGTTGAGTTTTGTTGGTAATGAGGTTATTATTCCCCTCCTAAATCTGAGCTCTCAACTCCCAACTGGTTCTGTTGCTGCTTCTTGTTAAGCATTTGGATACTTCACATTGTGCTGTGAAGTTGCTAATCTGAGATTTATTATTCTGCGGCATGTGTCCAAGCGAGTCATCCTTTAGAATGTAATCCTTCTATCATTTCCAAAGAAAAGGAAAAGTTTGAATGTATGTGTCTACTGATTTGAGCGGTCGGACTATATGTGCGAACTGTGGATTGCTGTCCCTCGTTCCTATAATCTCTGGTCTTAAGATTTGCTATCTTTTGCTTTCCTTATTTTATGCCATTAGGTCATTTTTAATCTCATATTCTGGTCATTGGTATGAATGCTATCTGCTTTATACTTTATGTTTTCTCTATCAAGTATTCAATGAATGACCTAATTGTTTTCTCATCACAGGTTCTATAAATCACTTCCACCTGTAAGCAAGGCTTACGGGACTGCTTGTCTAGTTTTGACAACCGCATGTCAATTGGGACTGTTTGATCTTGTTGATATTGCATTATTGTATGAGCTAGTATTCTCCCATTTTCAGGTAAATATCCTTTTATTTAATTATACTTCGGATATCAGCATCTTTACGATGCTAACCAGACACCATAATGTATCATACCTACGAGGCCTGTGACTAGCTTATTTAGTTTGAAACATTCTTAAGTTCCAATGGCTGAATCCTTATTCTCATGCTTAGTGTATGGCTTTGAGATATCTAAAATGTTATGTTACTTCCTGTTATTGTTGTTTTCAGTAATCATTTGATGGTTATAGTTCTTAACATAGGTTAATTGCGCAATGGATCTTGCAATAGATGTAGTTATACAAGTATCTCTGGTGTTCTTATACTTCGAAGCTAGCTGCCTTTTTTAGCACTCACACATGGCTTTCGCTGAAGTTGGGAGTGGGAAGCACCTTAACTGCAACTCCTCTGGCTTCCCCTCAATGATATTAGTTCATGTCAATCTTAAATGTTTTTTTTAGCAAATATACCACTAGGCAGGCTGCCTAGTGGCTAAATCTTTAATGGTTCATTTATTTTTTGGTGAAAAATAAAATTTTTGCTTTTGCTCTTGCCATAACGTGGTGACTTTCTGTTTCTGCAACTTATCCTATTAGCAAACAAAATGGATGCTAACTATCTCCTCTCAGCTGTTCTCCTAATCGAAGAACAAATTGTTTCCCGTATGAACTAGCCAATTCATTGGGGGGGGGGGGGGGGCTATTTTGACTTTCAATGACATATCAAATAAGCTTGAGAAATGATTATTTCTTATTTGGGACTGCAATATAAATTGTATAAAGAAATTCTTAATGCTATATAACTATAAAATGTATCGTGCCTGGTGTGAGTCGTGTGACCAAAGGTGAATTGGAGATTTAAACTAATGGGTCAAAAGTTCTCAATTTTTTGAACATATGGGATCACAAATTTTTTCCCGTATCAACCGGCCAATTCATTTGGGGATTTTTTGTGGGGGAGGGGGGGGGGGTATTTGGACATTCAATGACGTATTTAGATCGAAGCATGGAAAATAACTCACCACTAAGTCTCCGTGTAATACGTCTATGCGCCCGTATGACCACCGGAAGTACCTGTCTCAGTACCTGCACAATCAGTGCACGAGTGTAGTATGAGTACGTAAATCAACGCGTACCCAGTAAGTATCTAGTCTAACCTCGAAGAAGTAGTGATGATGGGTCTACTTGACACTTGCGGTCAAAATAATAAAGTACATAAAGTAAACAGGTACGGAACTCCACAAGTAGCAACGATGCAGGTAAATAACATAATAAAACTTCCGGACAAGAATTATTACGAAATCACCAATACCACAACTTGCCTTAAAGGCACAAGGTCAACCGATACCAATACCACATCAAATCTCAAGTATTACGCACGAGTCTGCCGAGGTGAATGGCCCGATCCCATAGGAATAGTGTTACACAATACCGTTGAGGCGAACGCCCCGATCCCATAAGAGTAAGTCACAGTACTGACGAGGCGAACGGCACAATCCCATAAGAGTAATTTACAACACTGTCGAGGCGAATGACCCGATCCCATAAGAGTAATTTATGACACTGCCGAGGCGAACGACCGGATCCCATAAGAGTAATTTACAACACTGCCGAGTCAAATGACCCGATCCCATAAGAGTAATTTACAACATTGCCGAGGCGAAAGGCTTGATCTCATAAGAGTATTGCAACATTGCCGAGGGGAACAACCCGATCCCATAAGAATAATTTACAACACCATCGTGTACCATAACAATAGAGAAACTCTCTCACTCGCGAAAAATATATGCGAGTCGATAAGACACAGAACTACCATTCATCAAATATTTCACAATTTCCAACGTAAGAGATTCGGTCAATATTTTTATTCTAGTCTCAATTCCAGTCATAAATTTAAGGAATCAAACAAACGAGATAAATTAACATAGCACATTTAAAGCATGATGTGTATCTAAGTCTACCCGGACATAAACATGAATCTAGCTACGTACGGACTCTCGTCACCTCGTGGGTAGTAGCGCCCAAAATAAGTAGCACACATCAATTAGCACACCTACGGGGATAATTCGCTCTTACAAGATTAGGCAAGAGACTTGCCTCGCTTCCAAACTCACTACTCATCTCTCCAACCTCACTAATTGCCTCAAATCAATGCCGAGCAATTCGAAACTAGCCAAAGGTTGTGCAAACCAATCAATATATGCTCAAAAGTTCATAGTTTATCTATTAGAGTAATTTTCCAACCCCGTTCGGAAAGTCAATAAAAGTCAACCCCGGGCCTAGGTGCTCGGATTTTGGAAATTTTGAAGATAAACATTGCTAGACATTATGAACTCAAATATATAATTTATTATCAATTCCTTAATCAATTTCAAGGTCAAAGCCCATTTTTACCAAACCCTAGGTTCTTCAACAAAAATCCCAAAATTCCACAATTTCTATGTTATAATCTACACATAATCCATGTATTTAACTCTAAATTGGTAGAAATCACTTACCTTGTGATGTTTAATGAAAATCCCCCTTAAAAGAGCTCTCAAATTCGTCCAAACCCAAGTGAAAAGTGAGAAATAAGCTAAGTCCCGAAATAAAAATATGATCTGCCCAGTGATTCCTTCTTCGCATTCGCGGAAACCAAACTATTCCAATTGACCAAAATCCTCTTCGCGTTCGCGACAACACGGTCGCGTTCGCGTTGAACAACCACCCAGCCTTCCGCGGTCCCCCAACCGCGTTCGCGAAGGCCAACAGCCACCCAGCCCAACTCAGCCTCAGCCTTCTTCGCGTTCGCGAAGATGGCTCCACGTTCGCGAAGAGGAACCATATCCTCCATCGCGTTTGCGGGGCCCTCCTCGCGTTCGTGAAGAGCAAAATCTCAGATCCCTCCCAAGCCTCCTTCGCGATCGCGAAGCACACCAACAAACTAGCAAACCAGCAATATAAGCCAACTTCAACTTTGCTGCGGGTGGTCGAAACTCACCCGAGCCACTGGGACCTCGTCCAAATGTACCAACAAGTCCATAAATATACTACGGACCTACTTGAAGCCTCAGAACACGTAAAATAATATCGAAACCAAGAATCGCACCTCAACATCAAATTAATCAACTTTGGAACTTCAAACTTCTTCCAACTAACTTCGAACGCGACGAATCATAATTAGACAACTCGGAATGACGCCAAATTTTATGCACAAGTCAGAAATCACAAATCACAATACAAACCTAATCCAAGGCTCGGAACCCCAACCGGACATCGAAAACACCAAAGTCTACTTCAAATCGAACTTAGAAACTCTAAAACCTTCGAGACACCAACTTTCAATAATAAGCGCCGAAACGCTCCCGGTCCACCCGAAATTCAATCCAAACATACGCCCAAGTTCAAAATCATCATACAAATTCCGATTTCGAGGCCGTTTACTCAGAGTGTTGACCCAAGTCAAACTTGGCCACCTTAGCCCACTACTATGGAACTAAGTGTTCCGAATTCAACCCGGACCTTTCCAAAACCAAATCAACCATCCCCATATGTCATAAAATAGTAAAAGCACATACAGAAAGTCTTAAATAGGGGAACAAAGATCTAGAAAGCAAAACGACTGGCCGGGTCGTTACACATATGATACCGTTTTACTTTTTTTTTTCTTAATAGAATCTAAAATCTAAAAATTGTATATAGCCTCCAATTCCCAAACAAATAGCCTCCAATTGCCAACCCTTCACTGTCTCTCTCTTGGCTGAATCCTTCAATTCAATTTCAAAGTTACATTACGTTCGGAGCCGTCTCCGCTGCCATTAGCCGCTGGCCACTGCCACTTTTCGTTGGTTGTCGCCTCTCTCGCCGGCAATCGCATCGTCATGTTTCACTTTGATTTTAATCATTGTATTGTACTTCTAAAATTAGTTTGGCTGTGTGCAATTTCATCAATTAAAAAGAATCTCAGTACTTAATATGATGGTAATTTATTTTGGGTATTTTACAACGTATTTTGTTTCAAGTTTGGGAATTGGGGCCATTATTAGTTTGTGATTAAAATTTTATTACTAACTTAGAATTGTCTTCTTGAAAATTATGTGACTTCAAGTAAAGGAATTGGATGCTTTTTTTATTCCGGGCTTTAAAGTGTCATTTCAATCGTAAATAGTTTGATCAGTATCATAATTGGTTAGAACATAGTGTAATAGAAGATGCAACTTATTGTTTGTGTTGTTACTTATTTCAAGATGAAGGCATTCGTTAAGGTGGAGGCGATGTATTTCTAAGTATATGGTTTAAGAGTTGACACAAAAAAATAGATTAGGTATGGATGTTGGTGGGTTGAGCAGTATTCATAACCAGGCAAAAAAGAAATGTTAAGATCTACAACAACAATAACAAACCCAGTATAATCCCACAGGTGGGGTCTGGGGAGGGTAGTGTGTACGCAGACCTTATCCCTACCAGGAGAGGTAGAGGGAAATGTTAAGATCTATTACAAGAAAAACAGTTAATTCAAATTGCATCTGATAGGCAATCTAGTCAAACCAAGCTCGAATACAAAATTCGCTTGAAGGCTTCAATTGAGGTGGTGAGACTCCTTTGAATCAAGAATTGACACTTCGTGGATATCGTGAAGATGAATCATCATTAAACAAGGAACTTTCTTGAAATTCTTTCATGGTATGCAAAGAGGTGTGATAAAATCCATGATCTTTTGTTGAAAAAGGCTCCAAATAATGATTAGTTGACTTCTCATAAAATTCAAAAAGATATTATCATTGCATGTAAGATTAAAACAGTTAAAGCAATTATGGGCGATCTAAATGGTGACTTTTTTCATTCGTAGTTAATGAATCTTGTGATGCATCACGCAAAGAGCAATTGGTTATTATCTTGCGATATGTTGATAGATGGGGATCTGTCGTGGAGCATTTAGTTGGGATCGTTCATGTTCGTTATACTAGTGCTTTATGTTTAAGGAAGCAATTATTGATTACCTTGCTCAATATTCTTTGAGTTTATCTTATGTATGTGGCCAATGCTATGACAGAGCAAGCAATTTGCAAGGGTATCCAAGTCGCCTTAAAACTTTGATTGAATAAGAAAGTAAATCAACTCATTCCATTCATTGTTTTGCTAATCAACTTCAATTGACTCTTGTTGCGGTGTCTAAAAAATATCTTGAAGTGAGAGAACTTATAGTGTTGGTTTTTAATGTCTTGAATATAATGGGAGGTTCTTCCTAAAGTATGGATTATCTTCGAGAATCTCAAGCAGAAGCAGTATAAATTCAAGAGGCATTAGATATGGGTGAGCCTGAAATTAGTAGGGGGCTTGAATCAAGAACTTGGTCTTGCTATAGCTGCCGAGACTCGTTGGGGTTTGCACTACAAATCTTTTAAGAATTTTTTTTCTATGTTTGGCTCTATTGTTGATGTTCTTGACCCTATATTTGTTGATGCCCGGTCTTCAGAAGAAAGAGCTAAGGCAAAGGGATATTTTAAAACTTGTCAAAAATTTGAGGTTGCTTTCATGTTATACAGTATAACATATACCTAATGAGAGATGTCTTGGGATTACAAATGAGCTTAATACATCCTTATAGAAAAAGGAACAGGATATTGCAAATGTTGTTCTACTTGTTGAAGCGGCAAAGAGACAGTTGCAGAAGCTAAGAGATGAAGAATGGGATTCACTTATTGATAAGGTGTCTGCATTTTGTGTCAATATGACATTTTGATATTAAACTTTGATGAGCTCTATATTAATTCTGGAAGATCTCGACGTAAAGTTGCTGATTATATTTTACATCACTATCACATGATGTATTTTTTAAGATTATTAATTGGCAAGTTCAAGAACTCAATTTTCGTTTTAATGAGGTGACAACAAACTTGCTCATTGGAATAGCTTTCTTAAATCCAGTTGACTTATTTAGTTTTGACATAAAAAAGATATTGAGAATGGTTGAATTGTATCCTTGACATTTTCGATGAAAATGTAACGGTTACTCTCAGGAATTAGCTTGAAACTTATATTGTTGATATTTGTGATGTTGATGAAAGGTTCTCAAATCTGCAAGAACTTGTTGATCTTTCTGAAACACTAGTTAAGTCAAAGAAGTATTTGAATTATCCATTTGTGTTTCACCTTGTGAAATTTGCTTTCCTTTTATCACTTGTCACTACCATAGTTGAGAGAATTTTTTCGGCGATGAAGTTGATCCGGAGTGAATTACGAAATCGAACGAATGACGAGTTCATGAACGGTTGTTTGGTGCCTTATTTAGAAAAAGATATTTAACACTCTTTTTGATGAGAATATTATTTATACGTTTCAGGAAATGAAAACTCGTAGATGGAAATTTTAATCATGTATTTTAATTTTTATTATTAATAAATATTTATTTTGTTAACTTCTCTGTATATTTGCTTCTTCGCATTTTGAACCCGCATAAAAATCCTGGATCCTCACTGGTGCGACATGGCTGTACCTTAACAAAAGATAATAGTGATTCACTTGTTTTTTGTTAAATTACATCATATTTAATGATGTTGAGCCTGTAAATGAGAAATTTGCATCACTTGTTATAAGTGATATCTAGTGCACGTATCTGAAAAGTGTTTTGTAAGTACCAAGTTACGTGTAATTTATCTTTTTGGGTTTAATTTTCAATATTAATGAGGATACCGGATGCTACATTTGTTTCAGTTATGGAGATTGATCACAAATTTCTTCTTTCTTGGGAAGTTCTCAATTAATTTTGGGATTCGCCTCTTGATGATGTAAGTGCCCACAACCTATGTTGCTTAGACTCTCCGAAAATGTGGCCGGGTGCATGTCAGATCCTCCAAAAGTAGTGCATTTTTGGAGGTTCCGACACGGATGCGGCAACATTTTGGAGAGTCCGCGACACATAACCCACAACCTCTGACCAGTAATTTTTCTTTTAAGTCTTATTTCTCTAATATGAATTATTTTCTACGGCACTATTAAAGCTTGCAATTAGTTATGAAATGCAAAAGATTTTTGTTTTACTTTTTCAAGTATTAATTATGATTATAGCTTCTTGATGTTATAGAGCAAGATATGGAGTGCAACTGGAGAGTGGACCTTTTCAAAGACGAACAGCAGATTTTCTGTGGATGATGATATTTGGAGCTTTGACATTGTTGGTATGTCAACTGCTGAACATTTTGGGAGTGAATTACCCAAGACATGAGCTCCTATTGTGTCTTTCTTAGCTGTGACCTCATACCCTTCCCTTGCTATCGTCTTTATTACTCTACTGTTTGTTTTACTATGAAGATGATGTTTCATTCCTCTGATACGCACCAAACCAATTTTTCACTTGTTTAACATATTGTCTCCTGCTATGCCTAGGCTTTATCACTAATCCCCTTCTTCCGCTCCCCATTCTTGGGCATATCACTGGTTTTCATGCTTTTATATATCTGGAGTAGAGAATTCCCAAACGCTAATATCAACATTTATGGTCTTGTGACCCTAAAGGTATGATTCTGTTCTTTCGTTTAGATATTTCAAGCCTCAGTTGTCAGGTTTTCGTGCTCTTTATCTTAATTTTCCGTTGGTGAAATGTTTCTTCCCATTCCAACTTGCAGGCTTTTTACTTGCCGTGGGCCATGCTCGGTTTAGATGTTATTTTCGGCTCACCAATTATGCCAGATCTCTTGGGGATCATTGCTGGACATCTCTATTACTTCTTAACCGTGTTGCATCCACTTGCCACGGGGAAGAACTTTTTGAAGACACCAATATGGGTGTATCCTTTTGATTGCAGTTTTAACCAATGACCATCTAGATGTTCTCTTAACTGCTATCTGAAATCACCCATGTAGGCATCTCTTTACAGAGCAGCACCAGAGAGGTCATTGCAGTTGCATGTTCCTTGCACCATCAAATTTTATTTTGCTGCTGTGATGTCCCTGGCTAATTTGGTTTTGTTTCCGATTTCCACCTAACAAAACCAATACGAAAAGAAAGAAGATGCTCGTTTTTCTGCATTTAGGAAACAAAATTATTCTTTTCTGCAAATTTCTTTAACTGGTGATACATAAGACATAAGGCCAGAGTTTCCTTTGTAATTTCGACATATCTACCTGTCAGAGAGCCCCCGAAACATATGTCCAAGAACCATTACACAACTCCTATTATCCCTACAACTGGTATACATTTCATTTCCTCAACACTTGCACATACTCAATCACTTAACACATTTTTGCACATAGTTTGGTCACTTCAATGAGTCCCATACAGTTCAACCAATACACTATACGCATTTCAATTAATCATTACCAATCTATACTACCATTAATCATTCACTTATCACAAGAGTTCTTAGAAAACTTTCATTTACCAAAAATGGTTTGCACATGACTCAAATAATCACAACACATACAATTCTTGCACAACTTGAGGAGTTACAATAGTAAAGCATTTAGGGGAGATATGGGGTGTCTTTGCACCAAATAGAACACAACATCAGTTTGCTTAGAGATAAAAGTTCGCACGATCACTACTAGACTTGTTCAAACAGATGGGGATATTTTTCTTTCATTTCATCTTCCGCTTCCCATNGTCTTTTATATATCTGGAGTAGAGAACTTACCCAAACGCTTAATATACAACATTTATGGTCTTGTGAACCCTAAAGGTATGTATTCTTGTTCTTTTCGTTTAGATTATTTCAAGCCTCAGTTGTCAGGTTTTCGTGCTCTTTATCTTAATTTTCCGTTGGTGAAATGTTTCTTCCCATTCCAACTTGCAGGCTTTTTACTTGCCGTGGGCCATGCTCGGTTTAGATGTTATTTTCGGCTCACCAATTATGCCAGATCTCTTGGGGATCATTGCTGGACATCTCTATTACTTCTTAACCGTGTTGCATCCACTTGCCACGGGGAAGAACTTTTTGAAGACACCAATATGGGTGTATCCTTTTGATTGCAGTTTTAACCAATGACCATCTAGATGTTCTCTTAACTGCTATCTGAAATCACCCATGTAGGCATCTCTTTACAGAGCAGCACCAGAGAGGTCATTGCAGTTGCATGTTCCTTGCACCATCAAATTTTATTTTGCTGCTGTGATGTCCCTGGCTAATTTGGTTTTTGTTTCCGATTTCCACCTAACAAAACCAATACGAAAAGAAAGAAGATGCTCGTTTTTCTGCATTTAGGAAACAAAATTATTCTTTTCTGCAAATTTCTTTAACTGGTGATACATAAGACATAAGCTGGTTATGCGTTGGAAGATTGGAGCACCTACTGCTACTCCTGCACAACCTGATAATGCCGGTGCAGCTTTCAGAGGGAGATCTTATCGGGTTGGAGGAGCAACAGCTTATCCTGCACAGCCTGATAGGGGTTCTGGTGCAGCGACAACTAACACTGTGCAAACTGATAGCAGTTCTGGTGTAGCATTCAGAGGGAGATCATATCGCCTTGGTGGGTGAGTTGCTGCATTTTCCACCTTCAATCGGTAGCTTCAAGTCGATAGTGAATTTTTATTCACGTTAGCTTGACCATGCAGCGCAAGGGACAGATCTTTATATTTGTAAAGTACAATGTTGAAAGGTGTAATGTTGCCAATGGCATGTTGAAACGCAGATGAATGCATAACCACCTGTAACCCACCCCTTCCTGAGGAAAAACTGATTTGTGTAGAACTTTTTCTTTCTAATGGTAGAAGTTTTTACGGAAGGATTACTGGAAACAGATTATGTCAATCCATTTGGGGAAAGAAGAGTTGATAGGCGAATTTTTTCTGATTTGGATATTTGCTATGGATTTTCCACGGAGAATGCTGACAATGAATAAAGGTTGCATAGTTTAGCAGCTGTTAGATTCATGTTTTGCTTTGAGTCATATATATTGTGACTCGTAGCATCAAAAATCGAAATGGCCAAAGCCTCCGTGAAACCACGCAACTAAGAACCCGGCTAGGCTCCGAAACATCCAACCTCATGAACCTATTGGTTAAAGCCTGAACATCCAAAGCTAATGGTTTCTCCCCGGTTGGAATAAAAGCCAAGCTACTCATGCTCTCCACCTTCCTAATCAAAGCATTGACCACAATATTGGCCTTTCCGGAATGATAAAGAATGGTGATATCATAATCCTTTAGTAGCTCTAACTACCTCTGTTGCCTCAAGTTCAGATCCTTTTGCTTGAATAGGTGCTGTAGACTCATGTGATCCGTGAACACCTCACAAGACACACTGTATAGATAATGCCTCCAAATTTTCAGTACATGAACAATGGTTGCAAACTCCAAGTCGTGTACCGGGTAGTTCTTCCCATGTGGTTTCGACTGACGCGAAGCATAAGTAATCACTCTACTCTCCTGTATCAACACACCCAATGCCAACATGTGAAGCATCACAATAGGTTGTATAAGAACCCAATGTTGAAGGAAAAACCAGAACTAGAGCTGTAGTCAAGGCAATCTTGAGCTTCTAAAAGCTCTACTCACACTCGTCAAACCACATGAATGGGGCACCCTGATTCAATCTAGTCAAAAGAGTTGCAACGGATGAAAAACCTCCATGAAACAGCGATAATACCCAGCCAATCCTAGAAAACTTCGGATCTCAGTAGTGGTAGAAGGCCTGGGCCAACTCTGAACTGCCTCAATCTTCTTTGGATCCACCTTAATCCCCTCGCTGGGCATCACATGGCCCAAAAATGCCACCGAATCAAGCCAAAACTCACACTTGGAGAATTTAGCATATAACTTCTTCTCCTTCAAAGTCTGGAGCACGATCCTCAAGTGCTGCTCATGATCCTCCCAGCTACGAGAATACACCAATATATCATCAATGAGCACAATGACGAAGGAATAAAGATATGAATGGAACACGTTGTTCATCAAGTGCATAAATGCTGCTGGGTCATTGATCAGCCCGAAAGACATCACCTGAAACTCAAAGTGACCATAGCGGGTCCTGAAAGCCGTCTTCAGAACATCTGAAGCTCGAATCTTCAATTGATGGTACCCCGATCTAAAGTCAATCTTCGAGAATACCCTAGCACCCTGAAGCTGATCAAATAAGTCATCAATACGCGTTAGTGGGTACTTGTTCTTGACTATTTCCTTGTTCAGCTGCCTGTAGTCAATGCACATCCTCATAGAGACATCTTTCTTCTTCACAAATAGAACTGGAGCACCCCTAGGTGAGACACTCGGTCTGATGAAACCTTTATCAAGCAATTCCTGAAGCTGTTCCTTTAATTCCTTCAACTCAACTAGTGCCATGCGATATGGTGAAATAGAGATGGGCTGAGTGCCCGGTACAAGTTGATACCAAAATCAATATCCCTATCGAGTGGCATGCCTGGTAGGTCTGCTAGAAATACATCTAGAACATTTCTCATTACCGAAACCGACTCAATGGTAGGAGTATCGACACTAATATCCCTCACCAAGGCTAAGTATGACAAGCACCTCTTCTCAACCATCCGTTGTGCCTTCAGGAAAGACACCACCCTACTAGGAACATGGACCAACAAACCTTACCACTCCAACCGCGGCAACCCCGACATAGCCAATGTCGCAGTCTTGGCGTGGCAATAAAGAATAGCGTGATATGACGACAATCAGTCCATGCCCAAAATAAAATCAAAGTCCACCATACTGAGGAGTAGAGGTCAATCCTGGTCTCATAACTCCTGATAGTGACCAAACACGACCGATAAACATAGTCTACCACAATAGAATCCCTAAGAGGCATAGAAATATAAACAGGGGTACTCAAAGAATCATGAGACATATCCAAATATGAAGAAAAATAAGATGAAACATACGAATAAGTGGAGCGCAGATCAAATAAAACTGATGCATCCCTATGACAGACCGGAACAATACCTGTGATGACAACATCTGATGCAACGCTCTCAGTCCTACCCAGAAAAGCATAACGACGGGCCTGGCCTCCCACTCTAAGACGATCTATACCCGCCTGTCCTCCACCCCTACCCGGCTGTGCAGGTGTAGCAGTAACTGGAGTAGAAACTATAGCGTGAGTACCCTGTGGAGGTCCACTATTCCGAAGTCTAGGATAGTCCCTCACCATATGCCTGGTATTACCACACTCAAAATAACCTCTCTAAGGGCGCGACTGCTGGAACTGAGTCTGATCCGGACGACTAGAATAACCGCTGTAGGCACCCCCTGCAGGAGGTGCACTAAAGATGGTTGACCAAAGTGAGTACTCTGAGCTCCCTGAATAGATGGAACACTACGAGTGACCTGAAGTGCAGACTGTACTAGTCGACTGATGAAACCTCTGTCGTGACGAGCTAATACTACTGATCGGGTACCACTAAACCCTTCAAAGGTTCGAGGCCTCCTGGACTTTCTATCCTCCCTCTCCTGGCCACGCATAGTTTCAGCCTCCGAGGGATCTCCACAACCTTCTGAAATGGAGTATCAGTCTCCAGCTCCCGCGATATTCTGAATATGAGACCATAACTGAGCCCCTCGATAAATCTGCGGACTCGCTCTCTGACAGGAAACCAAAGCGGGTGCATAACGATATAGCTCACTAAACCTCATGGCATACTCGGACACGGTCATAGTCCCCTGATGTAACTGCTCGAACTCTGTGCGCAATGCATCCTTGAGGGTTTGTAGAACAAACTCCCTCAAAAATAGATCAGAAAACTGAGCCGAAGTGAGAGGTGCTGCATCAACTGGCCTACTCTCCTCATAAGTCTGCCACCACCTATATGCCGACCCCATCAGCTAAAAAGTAGTAAAGTCGATCCCGCTCAACTTCACAATTCCCATAGTATGGAGAATACAATGGCACTGGTATAGAAAGCCCTGTGCATCCTCAGAAACTACATCACTGAAAGTGGGAGGAAAATACCTCTTGAACCTCTCTAACCGCTTCTACCCCTCCTCTGATGCAACTGCCTGACCTCAGGCTGAACCGCAGTCACGGGCTGTACCGGTATATCACCCCGAGCCTGATCAAATGAGCCCATTACTCTAGAGTACTGGCGCCAGGAGATTGAGCTCCTCCCCCAGCCTGAGAAGTAGCTGGTGCAATTGGGATCAATCTTGCCTAAGCCGAAGTACTGAACATGCTCAGAAAATGCGCCAAAGTCTGTTGAAGTCTAGGGGTAGTAACAGGCGTTTCAGGTGCCTGCTCCTAATTCGGAGCTACTTGTAGCTCCTTAGATGCTACTCTCGCAAGTGCTCTAGCTTTAGCACGTGACCCTCCTCAGCCTCTGCCTCGATCTTTGCACCGGCCTCTAGCAACATCGGCACCGGGGGCAGCATCGTCAATAACTGAATCTCGTATCCTCACCATCTGTGAGAGAATAGAAAGACAAAGCTCAAATTCCGAAATCATAAATCCGCACGATAAGGAATGAAAGAAGTGAAATTTCCTAATAGTTCCGTAGCCTCTCGAAGATAATACAAACGTCTCTGTACCGATCCACAAGACTACTAAATTTGCTTATGACTCGTAGCACATATGAACCTAGAGCTCTGATACCAACTTGTCACGACCCAAAATTCCACCTTGAGGATCGTGATGACACCTAGTCTCTAAGACTAGGTAAGCCTACACATGACGGAGATCAACAGAATTAAACCACTTAAACTAATTAAATTTAAACTAGTAAATGGCATAACATAGATGAAAAAGAACAATGGTCATACATCCCCAAAACCGGTAGTATGGAGTCATAAGCTCTACTGCGAGTTCACTAGCAATCTCAAATACAACACTATTTGGAAATAAAATAAATAGTAGCAAATTATCACTAGAAGGTGACTCCGAGGCTTGCGAGCGTCATGCAGGTATACCTTGAAGTCTCCACAATATCTGAATCAACTCACTAGCGTCCAACACGGTCCGAGGTACCCGGATTTACACAAAAATATGCAGAACCGTAGTATAAGTACACCACAAATGGTACCAGTAAGTATCAAGACTAACCTTGGAGTATTGACGAGGTTGAAGTGAAGACACTCACTAGACATAAAACCTGTGCATAATATCAATATATAGCTAACAACGGAAAATAAAATCAATAAATGACAACAAAAAGTAAACATGTAATAACACGGCAAATTAACTAAGGCAAGTAATACACAAAGGGAAAACTGTGAAGAAAACATTGAAACGTTCAACTCATAAAGCCGTACCAGTCTTAAGAATAACAACAAGAATCACCCCGAGGTACCGCACCTCATAATCACAAATCACAAGTCACAATTGTCACACCTCTTTTTCACCCACAACCCTATTATGAGGTTGAGTTAGAAGAGTTTCCCAATTAAAGTGACGTTTTGAAAAGGAATTATTTATTATTTGGAGACGCCACTTGAAATTGAGTTTTGGTGTTCCAAGTCACCTTTTATTTGAATCCCTTATCAAAAGGAATGTTTGACTCCTCTACAAAAAATAAAAGACTGAGTAAGGAATTCTGTTGATCGAGGGGAAGGTGTAAGGCACCCCTCGAGTCCCGTGGTTCTAGCACGGTCGCTTTTATTGACTAATGTAAGGCTTAGATTAAATTTTGGCTATTCTTGTAATGTATTGGTCATGATTTGCCTATTACCACTTAACTAATTATTATATTTTAGTAATTATGTTCACCAAGATGCGGTACGCACACAATGTATTCTTTGAAATTGAATGTTAAACCAAGGTATGAAATGTACACATGGCTTATCTATTACCACTTAATTAATTATTGTATATTTTTTTTAATGCGTTCACCTAGGTGCGATACGCACACAAGGTATCCT